TAGTAGCCACACTGAAAAGGATAGGTAAAACTGATTTTAATATATTTTGTTAACCCAGTAGATAAAAACATTACTTCAACATAAAATCTATATTAAACAATTGAGATATTTTATATTTCTTTTTTTATACTGAGTTTTTGAAAGTCTGAGTATTTAACGCTTATAGGATATCCCAATTCAGACTAACCACATTTCAAGTGCTCAGTAGTAAATGGCTAGTGGTTACCATATTGGACAGCACAGATCTAAAAGATCTTCCTATATAAACAATTAAGACCTTTATACTTTTGTACCTAAAATCTCAAGACACTTTAAAAACTGCATCATATTTCTGAAACATACCTGAAAAGCATGTCCTTGACTAACTTATCATAAAGGTGGATGTGAACACAGTTGTTGATATTTTTGTGAGCAGAGTAACTTGTTATTCATAAGGAATAAAGTTAGGTATTACTTTTCATTGATTGCTCATCCAGCTTTAGTAAGTCTAAAAAGAATCCCATATTTGGAACCTACATTTATTAAGAAAGCCATGTCCCCAAAACTACACAATGGCTGGGGAAAAAAATATGGAATAGATAAGAAATGGGAAAATAATTATTTAAATGTAAATTTTAGATCTGGATAGAATATATTAGCAAGAAGGCAATCAATGTACATTGTTAAATGCTGTTAAATATGTTGGGGGTAAGGGTGGAGTAGAAGATTAATCAGTGCCTGGTTCCAATTAAGGAACTAAAGGGGATTAGAAAAGTCAACACAAAACTGAAACTTGAAATATTATTTTCTTTGGCTCATTTAAGCTTCAGCCAAATCATCCTCCTTCTTCTGGGGGAGGCGGCAGTATTACACACGCGCTGTGTGCTGTAGCTAAGGTGGACGCAATTGTATTAGCTACAGTGGACTTGCGTATACACACACAGTCCCCATTCTAATCCCCCACTTAAGTTGCAGGGGCTTATTATCATTGTTTTTTCCAATTCAAAGAAGGAAAGAGCAGGTGGAGAGGAAGGCAAATTTTATTCCCTTTTTCATCTCTGCTCTCACATTATAGAAGGCTTCATTTGACATTTTTAATCTCCTGCCTCAGGCCTTAATGCTTATGTTTGCTGTATATTATGATTATTTTAAAGAAATTATGTGCCCCAATATTCAAATTAGCCATTATGTCTGGCCAAGAAATGGAACTGATAAAGGTAAAGTTTAAAGTCTTAAACTATATAGGGTACTTCATAGAGCCAAAAACTGCCCTGCAGATTTGGGGATCAGCTGTGTTCATTATTTCCTCATCACACACTAGGGAAACCACAGGGTACAAGGCACTGCACTAGCTAGACATGATGGGATTTACAGGGTTCAGATTATTTTCAAACTCTTAAGACCTCCAGGTCCATTGCCAATCCCCTTATCTACATCTGTCACAAATACAATCCTTACACACACACACACACACACACTCACTCACTCACTCACTCACTCACTAGGAATATTACTAAGTCAGCTGGTATTCAACGGGAAGAAAATGTCTGAACACGAATCTGTCCAGTGTCCTTGGAAATGTAGCTGTGATAAAGCTGCTAAGGTGGTGAGCTCCTTGTGGCAGTCACTATGTCCAGCACGGAGGCAAAATGGAAATGTAACTTTAATTTTTGCATTGGTGGTTTTACAGTTTTGGTAGTGGATGACATCTATACCCTACACCAGGCTCAGTAACAGTTCTTGGCATGACCAACCTTAATCATCACTTTGGTAAGTGCTTTGGCACGGGCCACTGTTGCTAACCACCATCCTGGTGCGGGTCCTTCACATCTGCTCTCCTATGGACGGAAAAAAGGAAGTGTCTAGTGTCCATTCCTTGGCCACGTCACCTCCAACCCTATCCTTTACTCACATGCCTTTCACTTCAGGCCCAGGAGAAAATGATTCATTTTTGAGAAGGAAAGTTAATTAGACAAAGCTACAGTACACTCTTAGCACAATGAAGACTTGGTGGGATGCAGAACATCCTCAGAGTGACAGTTGAGGGAACTGACCAGCAGCGCAATGCTGAAGAGGATGATTAGGAAGTATTTGGGCAAACACCGACTCTAACAGACAGACACAGTAGCACAGTGGACAGAGCAAAGGTCTTGAGTTCTGGAAAATGAAGTTCCTAGTCTCACTTTGTTATGAAGCTAGAAAGAGAATGTATATGAAAGTGTTTTGTAAACTGTTAAAGGAAATGGATTATCCTGTCATTAGCCTGGATGTATTCGGGGGTAATTTCTTTGAGCCTCACTTCCCCCCAATTATAAATCAGATAATAGATTTCTGATAATTAATCAAATAATGATAAAACAACCTGGGCCTTTTGGAAGAAAGATGTAGTATGTGAATACCAAAGGTTTATCTTATAAGAGTAAATTTCCCTCTACCTGGAATGAATGGTCATTTCTCCACTCATCTATTAAATACTTTTTAAACCTCAAGAGTCAGCACAAATGCTCTATCTTCTTGTGAAAACAGTTCCTGATTCATCCAAACAGAATGAACTGCTCCTTTTCCTGGGTGTTTACAGTTCAACATAGACCTTATTTTGTCATTATTTCCATCTACCTTGTACTTCAGAACGTTATAGCCATTTCCTTCACTAGAATGTGCGTTTTCCAAAGGCAGAGTCTGTCATGTTCTCTGAATCTCCCTCGTCTTCCTAGCACAGTGCCTTGCACAGAGTAGCTGCTTAATAAATGTTTTCTGAATTGTACTGAACTTAGTCTATTTTGGCTTTATGCCATGTCTTCTACCTCAAAAAAACCAAAACCCAAAAATCAACAGTGAAAAGAGAGCAGAAACTTAAGACAAACATGTAAGACGCATAAAGAATGGCTTCATTCTTTGCATTCCTGCTTTAGAATGCCCACTGCTGATCTCCATACGATTTTGTCACTGATTATTAGTAAGAGCAAATGTTAGGAAGCATATACACAAAGGCAGACAATGTAAAAAACCCACCACACGTCATGCAAAAAGTCTGGTTTAGAACTGTTTTTAAAGTTGCCTTTAACTTCAATTTTAATGGCAAAATCGGTACCATCAAAGCCAACACAAGACATATCTGCTCTGCTTTATACATGCAAAAAGGAGTATCACCTTCAGACTGAGTTGGGTATCTGCTGGGTGATTCTGGGTGAGTACAGATCTTCTTTGAGGCATAGTTTAAATCAAGTGGAAGAAGCTTGGCTATTTCAGACTTGACATAGCTTCAGGCTATTTATTTGTTGGCAGCTTCTAGAATATGTGGATTCCCCTGGTATTAAAAGGAGAAGGACCTAGCACCGTTTTCTGTCCCTCGTATAGGGATCCCTTATGAAATGGTCTTAGCTCTTTCAAATAAGTCAAATACCTGGATTCTACTGGAGCATTTTAGGCAGTCCTTTCCCTGTCTCCCACTCCTAGCTTGGAGTCTACTCATCGAGGGTATACAGGCCAGTTGAACAGTATCTGTGTTATTTTTCAAGAATTCACATCAGCAAAATTTATGAAACTTGTTTATTGCCCTAACACACTGATATGCTCCACATAGGTCCTTATTAACATTTTTCTCCCCAGCTTCTAATAGATGGACTCTGTTAGTTCTCATCCTAACTTATGTACTTAAGCCATGGTTTCATTAGCTACATTCGATCCTTCTGGAAGTAGCCAAGCACAAATTTATGCTTCTGTATTCATTCAAACCTTGTTATTCTGCTTCCTATAGGGTTTGCCTATAAGTGTCTTCTCTTTGATTATAATTCTTTCAGGAAAGGAACATGTCAATTCTATATAAAGGTATGGAGAATGTCATTTGCAAACAAAGGTCATTTGAAGATTATGAGCATAGTTAGTTAGCTGTAGATTCTAACCTCTTCAGGAAAGGATGAAAATTTAAAAGGACTAGCTGGAAGTCACTAAATTCTAGTCCTGTTAGCTTTGCAGATGATGAAGCTATTTCTATAGAACTTCTACCACATCACCAGCATCATCTGCAAAAAGCTCAGACTCTGCAGTGTCTACCCACACTTGTCACACTCCCCAAATCGATCAGCCTCCTGCTATGATTTTAGCCTCTACTTGTTTCTTTGTTACACCATTCCCTATAGTGGTTGGCTTTCTGGCTTTCTCATTCCAACTGTTACTTCTCTTGACTGAGGGATGCTAGCATTTACATAGCTGCTGTGAAAAGGAAAACGGTCAGGAGAAATACACCTTCAAGTGGTAGCTGCCACCAACACACAGAAGCACTCATTCAAGATGGCTTAAAGGAGACAGTGACTCAATGTATGACTAGAAAATAGAGCAATTCAGGCAAGTGTGAAAGGAATATTTCCTAATAACTCCTCCAAGATGACTAGTTGCTGATTAGTACATTTGACTTAATTATTCTCAAAACTGGCTATTTTTGCAAGGGAAGGTGGTGTGAAACAAGAAGGGAAGGGGAGATTGTCTTTAGAACCCCTAATTAATAAAAGCTTTCAGAAAACTCTTAATTTGAGCTATTCCTTTTCACTTTTTCCTGTTGGGTGCATGACATTTTAGAATTCTTGGTTTCAGGAGCGACCCAAAAAGACAGAATTGCCAGCTTGCACATCAAAAATGGGAAAAAAAAAAAAAAAAAAAGCATAATGATTTGGAACAAAAACCAAAACAGACTAAAACAAAAAATACAAGAAGCGGCAAAATCATTGAACCTAACTCACAGCATCTTTTTGAAGACAGGGAGGTTAGTTGGTTAAATACCACAGTGCTCTAGTAGTCCCTACCCTGGCTTTGAGAGTTTAAATGTTTAAGAATGCACATCCAGAAGCGGCACATGTAGAAAAACCATGGTAGCCGAGAGAGATCTGAGCTACTGCTGCCCGGGCCACCCTGTTCCAATTCACATGGATTTCCAGAGTTGCTGTTCCATGGTAACTCTCAGTAAGAGAGACAAAGAAATAGAACATTTTTAGAAACCAAGCAGAAAATGGATGGGAATACAATACCTGGAGAGTTTATCAAGCATGTTGACAAGTTTCATGGCTTCATATTCTTTTTGTTCTTCTGTCATTTCATCTATGGGGTTTGGCATTGGTTCCTCTAAATGACCAGTGATAAGATTAATGCTACAAAAAGAAAAAGAAGTTATGCTGTATGTTTTAGAATTATGCTCTTTCTATACTTTCTGGTCCAAGTTGTAAGTTATAATAAGAAAGAGTATAATAGCCAAAAATTGGCAATCATAGCAATTTTATAGTACGGAACTGCTATAGGAATTTTTAAAAATTTACTTTTTCTACTGATTTGCTTTGGGAAATGGGTCATAGTTTTACTTTTTTTTTTTTTAAAAAAAATAGCTAACTTGCCAACTTTTTTTTTTTTTTTTTTTTTAAAGGCCTGGCTGCTTTTTAAAAAATATGAAATTGGATTGGTGCCGTTAGGATAAATATCCTTGGATGCATAGTTTATTAATTTAAGGGACGATTTCAGAGTAGGAGAATCCATTTTGTGATACAGCATAAAACAAATATATGTCAAAAAAACTGGAAAAATGATGACAGGCTGAAATCTGAAAATGAAAGCATGCTGATTTATAATCTCAGGAAATTAGTCCATTAGTGAGACCACAGAAGGCAATGAATGTTTAAATAATAAAAGATAAAGCAGAAGAACAATTTAAATTAGATTTAGTCTGACCGAATTAAAATGAAGAAGAAATGAATTTGTTCCATAAACTTTGTACAAAGTTCTAATACCAAACAAGCTATCCTCTCGGATGAAAGCTGCACTTTTTTTTTTTTTTGAGATGAAAGAAAATTCTTTCAATGGCTGCTAAATATCTATAACCTAAACATGTTTCTGGAAAAGCAGACAAGAGGTTACAGCATTTTGTTTGAGCCAAGTACAGACAGTTTGCAGGGATATTTCATTTGATCATTAAAAACAAATGGCAAACTGCTAATAAATTGCTTTCTAGGGTCTATAAACACCAATAGTTTCGGTGGCCAGGTCTTCAGGATAAGTAAATGAGTGAACTGGTCAAGTATAAACAATGTGGAGTGTTGGGGACTGGGGTAAACTTGAGAAAAGTGCCTGTCTAACAGTGGCAGGAAGCAGAATCCTATGGGCCAAAACAGACTCGGATCAAGTAGGTCCTCTGGGGGCTAGCTTGCAAGCCCCGTGCTTCAGACTTTTGCTTGGGTAGTTTAACTTCTTTACTGATCAGGGATTTCTCATTTGGAGTAGTAAAAGGGCTAGTCACTAGGTACTACTATCATTACTAAAAGATTTCCTTCTCTTTTTCTACTTTCCTTGGAGGCTACATGATATTCAGATTCTTGTGAAAGGACTCAGTGCTCAGCAGCCTCATAAAACTGATCTAAAACCTGTTTTGTCATTCTTGCATAAGACCTAGCTCTGTAGCCATGATTTAAAAACTGTTTTGGGGGTACTTGAGTGGCTCAGTAGGTTGAGTATCCGACTTCAGCTCAGGTCAAGATATCACCGTTCGTGAGTTCGAGCCTCACGTTGGGCTCTGTACTGACAGCTCAGAGCCTCCTTCGGATTCTGTGTCTCCCTCTCTGCCCCTCTCCCACTCATGCTCTGTCTCTCTACATCTCTCAAAAATGAATAAACATTAAAAAAAAATTTTTAAAAACTTTTCATTCAAAGCAGTGGACCAACCACCAACCTCCCCCTGCCTTTTTTTAAACAAATGAAATCTACACAGAAAGCCCACATATAAAACAGACAAAGTGGAACTGCTCTGGCAAAGAGGGGATGGGTGGCCAAGCAGAGTGTAGGCCTAACGCCCCTGTTTGTCTGTACTTACTTGCTTCCTCTTAAGGTCACCCCTGAGGCACTTTTAGGAACTCTAAGGAAACAGTCTGAAAACTCTAGGCTTGTCAGTGATTCTTAGCTTTGGCTGCACGTTAGAATCACTTGGTAAACTTTAAAGAAAAGGCTTAGGCCTTACCTGAGGCCAACTAAATCTATGTATTTTATTTTCCTGGTGATTCTGATACATAATGAGGTTAAAGAACCACAGGGCTAGAATGCCTACTTAAGACATTCACTGTGTGCTATTCCTTTTTTTTTTCCCCTCTCCCCCAGGTGCTATAATAAAAGAGAAAAAGACCTCCAGTTAGCGGCCATTAATAAAAACATGAGTGAGGCCATCATAGTTACCAAAAGTTGAGAACAAAGGGGACCCGGACAAGGCCTCTAAGAACTACGGCATTTTTAAGATGTGTCCAGATGCATATTGAAAATGTAATTCTACCACCCATCTATTATTTCCCCTGGCATAACAACAGGACCTGTTTTTAGGGTTCCTTTTTTAACCACCTGCTAAATTAGAAAAACAACTAGTCTTATTAATAAATTAGTAAAGGTACTTATTAGAGGCACATACCCACTTCCCAAGCAGACAGAGGAAATCAGGCCTTAGAAAAAAGTACAAGGAAAGGTAGGTGTATTAACTATGTAGAATATGTTCGATTTGTCTCTTGAAAGAAGGCTCCTCTCCTCAAGCTCAATGGAGGGGTGATTTAAGAAATCAGATCCATAGACGGTTTTACAATATAATGACATTAGGACAAGCCATCATGTGCCTCAGGGGAAAAAGTGTCAGGAGGATACACTGGTAAGCTCTGTGGTATCCACACTATAAAGTTAGAATGTGAATTCCTGAATAGGGCACATTTGATTCTTTTCTTGGTTCTTTTAAGGTTTTAGTAGAAGTGATGTCTGCTTTCTATAAGCTGACCTCAAGTCCTTTGCTGCTAAAATGATTTAATGGCTTGCTCTGAAATTAGCTACTGAAGTCACAAAATCTTTGTTCACGGAGTATAAAAGCAGTAGGCAGACATTCACTCTTCTAGTCAGAATTTACCATCCTTTACTCATGTAATACCCTGCTCTCAATATGAAGAGGAATGTACACAGTGCCACAGCAAACACAAGTCGGGGCACTGAACTGTGCTACTGTCTTATGGGAAAAATGCCAGTGTGCTGGGGACACTGTCGCCCCTCCTGCTCCCCGCTTCAAACCAGTCTCCTGTGGTTTCCCTACCCAGAGAGGAAGAGAAAATAGTCACCATAACAACACTGATGTGAGGTTTCATAAAATGGATTGTTTTCAGTTGAACAATCACTTGCCACCTTTATAACCTCAAACAGTATAGTTTAAGACTTAACTTTCTAGGTTTTAGGATCTTAATACTGAAATTCTGAGGTTAGTTTTATCTTGCTCTAAGGCTGAATCTTAAGATGCTTTAAGTACACTAATTGTGACAGATACTGTGTTGGGTAATTTTATGGTATGATTTTGTTCCACCTTGTCTTTGTTCCCCTTCCCCATCTTCCCTGCCCTCCAATTCTATGACTGTATGTCTTTCAGTTAGGTGACAAGAATTATTTAAATATCTCTGTAGAGCATCACTGAGCGTTTCATATTATATAAGGCCATTATGTGAACTGACTGCAGTTATGGACCTGGAGATGAAGGGATTAAGACATAAAAAGGTATGAGCAAATGAATATATACATAAAAGCTGAAATATATTTCAAAACTTTTGCTTGTCGAATCGTTGCTACATTTGGTCAACATCAACAGTACTACGTCACTTAACAAAAAAAAAGAGCCACTTAATTTTCCCTGAGCTATATGAAACTTAACTTCAATCTCTTAAGAAGTGTACATCAAATTTCACTCAAAGTATTAAAGAAGGGGCTATAAAGGCAAATGCCACAGTGGCCAGGCATGTAAGGTGAACGACAAGGATATATTATTAAACCAGAAGAGCTTATGCCTGGTATGATGGGGACCACAGACACCCCACTCCATCAGCCAGATGCCATGTGACAATGCAGCCTTAACGTTATTAAAAATTATTTAAAAATAGTTAGAAATTCAAATTTCCATTTGAAATATCTGGATTCTAAATGTTGGCAAGTAATTATGTAAATCAGAAAATAACACAAAACTAAGCCAATGAATGCAACATCAGGTAAGCCAAGCAGAACCTTCTTGTGGGCTAAATCTAGTCTATGGGTGGACAATTTTGCAACCTCTAGGAAAGGGATCAGAGTTTTTAGGAAAAGGCTTTTCTGAGCTCAGAGCAGGAAAGAAGAGGTTACATGCAAATAAGGCTAGAAATGTCTTTCCAGGAATAACTCCCCAGAGTACCTGCCCCCTCAAAACAATGAAGTCTTCTGTAGAGTCTCAATATATGGCGACAATTACAATGGGACTTGAAGCAACAAAACAAAACCTTGACAAAGAATAAAAGTCTCTTATGCTGAAGAAATTATACAGTTGCTGCCAGTTACTGCTGAGAGAAATATAGTCAAGAAGGAGAGATCCCTGAGTTGTTTAGTACAATGATTTTAAGCTTCTGGATGTGATTATGAACCAGTATTGGGTATTAAGAGTATAAGGAGGTATCCTAGAGTTCTGCCCACTTTGGTCATCCCCTCCTCCTGCCCTCCACCTAGCAGCCCTTTAAAAATACCTCTTTGGACTCCTAGGCTCCTATCTACCCAGCCTGAAGGCCACTGGTTTAAAATGAGCCAAATGCTACCAGGTATACATCTTTCAGTTGATGTTTGGAATGATGTACAAAGCACATTAGTCACTTATACCACCTGTACAGGCACGGGGCCTCTATGCTCAGAGGCACAAAAGAAACAGGTATAAAAGTTAGAATTTAGGAATTTTTCTCTTTGATTCAGGACAAACGTTTATCTGAAAACTTTTAACGAACATGGCTAGACTTATAGTGTGTGTGGCATGTAACTTGATTCTTTAAGTATATTTCTGCTAATTGCAGAAAGCCATTTCCAGTCCATTAAACACACTTATTTTGACACAAAAAAGATTGTTGTGAAATTAACTGTCTCCTATAGCCTGAATGTAAGCTCCACACAATTCTTGGTTTCAGATTCCACTAACGGATTACAGGTTACCTTGGTGCATCAATCAGAATCCACTTACATTTCTGACAGCGAGACTAGGGCCAAGTAGATAAAGGGTAATTCCTCTGCTTCTGCTAAAACTAGGAACTGTTGTGAATAAATGTATCATAAGAAAAGCAGACTGTGATCTTGGGAACACTGATTGGTGAAGGGTCATCAGACTGTAGCAGGGAAAGTAATCCTTTCAGATGCTGACTTATTTATAAGCTTGACTAGATTGTTAGGGAAAAAGTTCTTTGAATTCTGTAGATCACTCCCCAGAGCACGAGTCGTCTTGCTTGTAAAGTACTTTGTTCACCACCACTTCCACAAGGACCACTGAATAAGTATTTTAAATTAACAAACATCCCACTACAGCGTTTCACCTGAAAGAGGGAAGATGTAAGAAAAAAACAGATGCAAATCTATCTGAAGGGGAAAGATGTAATGCTATGTGAGAAACATATACTTATACTTGAAATGATCAATGTTTAAGAAACATAACAAGATTTCACAATGGTGACTATTCTTACCACACTGACACACCACTCCTATAAGTACTATAGGCCAGGTCCAAAGGCTGAAGAAGATTCCAAAGGGGGATGTAAGGTCTAAGTATAGACTCTTCCTTGCCAGAACAATATTCCTGATGAATATGGATGCAAAAATCCTCAACAAGATACTAGCAAATCAAATTCAACAGCATATAAAAAGAATTATCCACCATGATGAAGTGGGATTCATTCCTGGGTTACAGGGCTGGTTCAATATTTGCAAATCAACCAATGTGATACATCACATTAACAAAAGAAAAGAACCATATGATCCTGTCGATAGATGCAGAAAAAGCATTTGACAAAATACAGCATCCTTTCTTAATAAAAACCCTTGAGAAAGTCGGGATAGAAGGAACTTACTCAAACATCATAAAAGCCATTTATGAGAAGCCCACAACTAATATCATCCTCAATGGAGAAAAACTCAGATCTTTCCCCCTGAGATCAGGAACACGACAGGGATGTCCACTCTCACCACTGCTGTTTAACATAGTGCTGGAAGTCCTAGCCTCAGCAATCAGACAACAAAAGGAAATAAAAGGCATCTGAATTGGCAGAGATAAAGTCAAACTTTTACTTTTCGCAGACGACATGATACTCTACATGGAAAACTTGACAGACTCCACCAAAAGTCTGCTAGCACTGATACATGAACTCAGCAAAGTCGCAGGGTACAAAATCAACGTACAGAAATCAGTTGCATTTTTATACACCAATACTGAAGCAACAGAAGGAGAAATCAAGAAACTTATCTCATTCACAATTGCACCAAAAACCATAAAATACCTAGGAATAAACCTAACCAAAGATGTAAAAGATCTTTATGCTGAAAACTATAGAAAACATATGAAGGAAACTGAAGAAGGCACAACGAAATGGAAAAACATTCCATGCCAATGGATTGGAAGAATAAATATTGTTAAAATGTCAATACTACCCAAAGCAATCTACACAATAACAATACCAAACATCATGGTCTTTGATTTAAACAAAAGGTGCTCTCCTGAAATCTACTATCACTTTCACAATCTAACACATTTCTATTTCCTATACTATTAGGAGAGATCCAGTGTTCTTGTATAAGCAATAAGAAATAAGCAATTTCTTATTATAGTAGTGTTCTGGTGCTTGTGAGATATGTGATCATTACTATAATAGAGTCATTTACCAAACAAAATCAACAATGCACACTGAAATATAATGACATCATTCATCCATGAGTATTCAAGAGTTTCTATCTTAGTTGTCCATATAAGTTGGGACACAATGAATGCTTAATGTAATTTCTACCTTCATTTAAAAGTATGAGACTTCTCAAGTGGTATATTTAATGTCTCAAATGGAGAGAGAGAAATATTAAACTGATATGGAAGTATAGTTTACAGAATGGAAAAATCAGAGCTAGCTAGCAAGACTAATTTAGAATGATGACTTCTATGATTAGGGAAAGATTAAAGTATAATTCCTCTGTCTAAGCTTCCATTACTTGATAGAGATGCCAAATTTATAGCATCTAAATGGTAACAGTCTTAAGAATGTATTGGTTAGAGTCACTGCTAGTTTTTCTTCCCCCAAAGCCTTTTTTTCCTAGGACATACTCTACAAGATCCTGCTGCTGAGACTGAAAGCTCTGGAGATACTAGAAGTAATAATGCTATGTACTCAGGCCTGATTTGCCAAGGAATATAGGCCATATTCATCTTCTCTGATTAGAAAATGATCTTTGCTGTTACCTTCTGATAACCTACTACTTTCATGTTAATATCCTTTAAAAAAAAAAAAGCCTAATTTTGCAGATAATGATTTTCTATCCTTTATCAACTACCACATGACCCCCATTACATTCTAGAGACTGTCAGTAGAAAACCTAGTATGTCAGTATCATTGATAGTACCACAAGGGATGGACATACCCTTTTAATGTTCATTAACGGAAACCAGAAAATTGAGCTCAAGTAACTCCTAATAAATGGAACTACGAAATTTACCTGGGACGGCGTTAAGGGGGGGAATGAAAAGGATGGGGAGGAAACAGAAGGAAGTAGAGTTGTTTTGTTTTGGGTTAAGAGAATTAGTGTCTTAGATTTCTAAGCATTGATTCAGGAAAGACTTTATGATAGAGTCTCTGATTTGCCTATTCAGTGCAATATGTCTGTTAAAGATGATTACCTAAGTGTTTGATTAAAATTTACCATAGAGCTAGACTTCTTTTGTTAGTGATGTACCATTTTATTGATTCATAATGGCTTTTTTGCAAGAGGCAAGATCAGAATTTATGAAACCTATGTTTCGATTTCTGAGAAAGACTGAAGCATCAAATAATCAGCTTAAATCCTTTGTCTTGGTTGTACCTCATACAATCTCAACCTATGGAAAGGAGAGCAAAAGGTAGGTATATGATGGTCTAAAACTACCATCTCTCCAAATACTTAGGAGAGGATAATGAACAATGCAGCAGAACATTTCTTGCAATATTATCCCTCTTCAGTCATTTGAAGTCACTCTCTAAGCTACTAGCTATGAAATTGCCTCTAAAAACACTATTAAATGGAAAGCTTCCAAATCCACAAAAGAAAACAAACATTTGGAAAATGAAAGACAAAGGAAGTGAAAGGTAAATAACCAATCAAAGGCACAGACATAGGTGAAAAGAAACTTGATACTATACTTTGGTTTTGCATTTTTGTATTCTTCAGTGTCTGTGTCCTCGTCCTCTGAGTACCAATTATCTCCTCTTCCTCCAGCCAAGAGGCCCCTGGCCGCCAACAGTCCTGCAGCATTCCCATAGCCAGTGTATTTCAGCAGGCTATCCACTGCAAAAACAGAACAGGTTTTTAGACAGGAAACCTTGGGTGCTCACTGTCATTACTGACTACCAGTACAGGGAAATTGGAGATCTATATGGCAGTAAACCTTAAAATTGAGAGGTTTTCAAAGTGTGGTAGTGGTTATACTAAACTACCAATAAATTTTCCTTTTTTCAGGTATCAGAAATTCAAGTGGAGGGGTGCCTGGGTGGCAGTCAGTTAAGCGTCCGACTTCAGGTCAGGTCATGATCTCACAGGTCGTGGGTTTGAGCCCCGCATCGGGCTCTGTGCTGACAGCTAGCTCAGAGCCTGGAGCTTGTCTTTGGATTCTGTCTCCCTCTCTCTCTGACCCTCCCCTGCTCATGCTGTCTCTCTCTCAAAAATAAATAAAAACATAAAAAAAAATTCAAGTGGAGCTGTTTGGAATATACTTTATGGCAGGAATGGAGCCTCTGTGACCATAGGGCCATTGGTAAGAGTGGTGTTTTAATTTTCTGGTCACAAATCTTATTTCTTTATCCAGTTTTGGAGAAATGATTATTAGAAACTGGAGTTACTGATAGCCAGATTGGAATTTTACCAATTCAGTCACTATCTAAAATCTTTCTTACACCCTTTTTGGGAATTGTAGGAAATAATGAAACTTAGGAATATTTGCAAATAGGATAGGTTAGTTTACTACTTAAAAAAAAAAAGTCAGCAATAATATATAAGTACATGAGACCCGCTGAGAAGGTAGGCCCAGGAGTTAGACTGGCTGGATTTTAGTAATGGCTCTACCACTTACTAGCTGGTTGACTTGGGTAAGTTATTTTACAGTTCTGTATCCCACTTTTTCTCATCTCAAGAATTGGAATAATAATATCTAGTCCACTGATTAATACAGGCAAAGTGCTTAGAAAAGTATCTGGCACAAAGTAAATACTCCTGCTTTTTCCCTGAGAATATTAGGTAAAATGAGCATTTTAGGCTTATCTTAACAACAGCAACAGCTCAATGAACCATCTGGTACAGGCCACTATTACCCTGTTATCAGTGCAAGGTGATATCTCTAAGACAAGTGGACATATAAAACTTTTGCAGGGGAACCCTGAACTGTAAGGTTTTGTTTTGGAGGATTCCTAAGAACCCTTAAGGAAGATACAAAGCAATCTTTAGCAGCTTTATTTAAGAGTACTTTCATCAGGTACAGTTTCAAGGTGAGCACCAAAATATTCAATCTAAAGATAAAAATTTTATTTAAGGCTTTCAATAAAATGTCATCCTAAAGACAACTGTAGGAAACAAACCAAACACTATCTTATTCATGTATTAAGCTTTAGTAAAACCTACATCTGAAATACTATTGTAATTCAGACCACTTACCTCAAAAAAGACAAAATAAAGCTGAGAAGATTCAGAGGAGGACAATTAAAATGACTTTGGGACCTGAAAGGGGCAGTGGATAGGCAAAAAGGTGGGTAAGGAAAGGGGACATATATGATCAAGGATGAAATCATTAAAGGCATGGATAGGATGAATAATCCAGCGTAGAGTTGTTCATTAAATTTTCAAATACTTCAACTAGAGGGTACCTTTCCTGACACTGAAAATAGGTAGTCTGGGGACAAATGAAAGTCCTACTTTCAAAGGATATAGCAAACTGGTGAAATTTGTGTAAAAGGAGACATGGATTAATAATATAAGTAGATTAAAGTTTGCACTATTTTCTTTCAGCCATTTTCTACCTTAAAACCTATTGGTAACTGTTGTCTCCTTGGTAATAATTCTCAATGGGTGCTAGATAGAATCATATTTGAATTTAATGAGGGATCACGGAGGTATAATTTGAGAGCTCTTGGAATAAATCTGAATATGCTCCCTTTGCTAACAGTGCCTCTGCAAGACCGGAATGGTTTGGATAAATTAATGAATTCTTAATGAACTTTTAGGGATGTGCATATCCAGTGTATACAAGTATTCTGAATATTCATAGAGGTCAGACATTAGTAACATGGTCAGACACAAAGTCAGTGAGGCGAAGGGTTATAAATCTAAATCCACATGGCACTGATACTCTCATTGTAAGTGTTTTTGATAAGCCTTACTTTTTAACAGATAAAGGTGTTTGGTAGTTCCAGAAAAAATATTCACTGAAATTGTGAAAGTCTAAATCGAGAAATGAATGTACTTAAATAACAATAAAAACATAAAATATAAATAACAACCTACAAAGGCTAAACATTAAAATAGTTTAAGAATGCAGAGTTTATGAAAGGCCAAAATAGGTTAAAAAGTAAACAGAACACTACATAATCTGCAGAAAATCCTCCTGGAAGCTAGTTAATAGTAAAAAATCCCTAGCACTTTTATGAAAATAATGCTTACTGTTCATTCACCGGAACAAACATGTATCAACTCTGTGACAGTTTGGGTTACAAAAGCTATTAAAAGACTTGCTTTGCCTTCAGAACAGATAAAGTTATAGACGATAGTTTCAAAATTGAACTTTTGTTAATAGGATAAACTATTCAAAAAATAAAAGTTGGGGAAGGGACACAACAAATGGACTACAAAATCTTCACAGTGAGAAATTTTTTTTTGTAAAGTTCTGATTGATATTATTTCATAGAGTGTTTTCTAACTACTTTTTAGCTATTTTCAAATAACACCGTACAATATCCTATTCAGTACTGGGAAAGTAGTAAAAAGAAAATAGACTGAACTTGGATGTTAAAGTGAGCTGTGGGGCACCTGCGTGGCTCAGTTGGTTAAGCAACTGGCTCTTGACTTTGGCTCAGGTCATGATCTCACAGTTCATTTCATGAATTCGAGCCCTGCATTTGGCTCTCTGTGGTCAGCACACATCTTATGTCTTCACATCCTATGTCTCCCTCTCTCTCTGCCCCTCCCCTGCTTGCACTCTGGCTCTCAAAAATAAATATTAAAAAAAATAATAAAGTGAGATGCTAAGGCAAAGAAAAGGTTTTCCGAGTGGCCCTTGAATATAAAAAAGAAACATAAAAATATTTATTTTTTAAGGGGTGCCTGGGTGGCTTAGTCAGTTGAGCATCTGACTATTCATTTCAGCTCATGATCTCATGATACATGAATTTGAGTCCTGAGTTGGGCTCTGCGCTGACAGCGTGGAGCCTGCTTGGGATTCTCTCTCTCTCTCTCTCTCTCTCTCTCTCTCTCTCTGCCTCTGCCCCACTCGCACCTTATCTCTCTCTCTCAAAATAAACATTAAAAAATATGGTTTTTTTTTTTTTTATCCTAGTAGTCAACCATGCAGTTAGGTAAAAGTGCTGCAGAAATGAGACAAACCAGGATTCAGTCAGAAAGTTGCAAAAAATATTTCACCTCTATTTTATCAAGATGCTAGAGGTACTATGAACAAAAGAAAGCAACCACAGTAGCACACTGCAGTCAGAATTGTGCTGGTATTACTGCACAACGTGGATTTTACCACACTCTGTCATGAAAACAAAAAAGAGGTTTTCGTCTTTAGCAAGGAGAAAGAATGGCAGAGCCAGATTCTACCCAGAGACCATTCCCCTTTCTGTTATATAGACAAGGCTTAATACTCCTTTTCCTTCCAAATATTGCAACTTTTAGAAATCCTTAACAGATTCCTCTAACTAATCTCCCTGTTTCCAATCTCATGTCCCCTATTCCTTGTTCCATACAACTGCCTCATAGATCTGTGTAAAGCAAAAATAAGTTATCACCTCCCTGTATAAAACCTCTAAGATCTGCTTCATTTTCTGGTTCCTGCCTTCTTTTTCCAAACTTATCTCCTATTATTTCTGCACATCATCGATTCTTCATGTCTTTAATTAGTCTTTTTCCTATATATACCAAGGCTGTTTGCCATTTCTCTGCAAAGACTTTCTCTGACCATCTCCACAGTACCCAATCATTCCCTCTTTAGGCTGCCACAGTACCTGGCATATTCCTCACTCACAGTGTACTTAAATTATTCCTTCATATGAAGAAATCCATAAGAGCATATATTCACTACATTGCACTCAGATAGCAGAAATGTTTGCTCTTTTATTACTATCTTTAAGGTACTTCGTTATAACTGGGGATCCAAAAATAAAGATGACATGATCTCTGACCTAAAGAAGCTCATGGCTAGAATGCAAGTTCAACAAATTAAGTTAGAATATAGCAGATGTCAAAAGTACTAAACATAGATGTAAGTAAAAATGGTACAAGGAAGACAATGATTAACTCTGCCTCCATGATCAGACAAGTCTTCACAGAGATGATACTTAAGCTGATCTTCAAGGATAAATAAAGCTCGCCATGCAAATGACATTCCATGCAAAAGGAACAGCATCTGCCAAGTCATGGAGATAATGACAAGAAATGGTACAGTATAATCAGGCAAGAATAAAAATTTTAGCATGAGTAAGCATAAAGTATAAAGCAGTAGTGAATTTAGAATTAGTAGTAAATTTAGAATTCAGAAGCACAAAAGGCAGGTCATGAAGGCATCTAAGAAAATTTGGATTTTTTTTTTTAAATGTTTTATTTATTTCTAGGAGAGAGAGAGACAGCATGAGCAGGGGAGGGTTAGAGAGAGAGGGAGTGACAGACTCTGAAACAGGCTCCAGGCTCTGAGCTGGCAGTCAGCACAGAGCCCGACGCGGGGCTCGAACCCACGAACCGCGAGATCATGACCTGAGCGAAAGTTGGACTCTTAACCGACTAAGCCACCCAGGTGCCCCAGAAAATTTGGATTTTACCAGGTGAAAGGGAGTCGCGGAAAGTTTTACAAGGTGATAGTGATGAGATTATATTTGTATTTTAGAAGAATCCTTTGTTAGCAATATGGAAGACAGACTGAAGAAAACCTGACCAGTAACTGAGGGATGCCAAACTGGCCGAAGCAGAAGCCAAGGTGGAGGATAAGATCACTCAGGAGACAATGTAAAATGAGAACAGGGGTCAGAAAACACTAGGGAACACTGGCAGTTAAATGTGGGCAAAGACAGTTGTCAAGTATGATGGAAAAG